ACTGTCGCAAAGGGTCATGACAAAATGTTTGAACTTCCTACATGTGTACTCTTGTGGATGGTGCAGCCTCTACAATGCCGATGAAACTCGTCCGATGATACACACGGTACAATCTTTGTCTTTGTAATGCCCTGACTGGCTGTTTCCCGACTTAATAGTGCCAGATATGGTATACGAGGGGGCCTCAAATTCATCCTGTGGGGAAAACTTAGAAACCATTTTTATCGTGAACTGTGCCTTTGATCTATCAAGTCCCCACAAAGACAGCCATACCATGGGATCAGTCTATTAGTAAGCAACTGACCTTATCCAACTCTTCCTCCTTGAGCGCCAATGCCAGCTCGTTGTTATCCATGAATGACGAATAAGCGACATCGAGGGGAACGGAACCTCTGAACGTAACCTCTCAACCTCTCATTTCAACAGTACCATTTGGCAACATATGCTATTGAGCAATATTATCTTTAACTACCTCTTTGGGATAAAAAAATGGCAACAGGGGAAATGGAGAGGAGAGTTTACACAGTCATGTGGAGTATGAAAATCCGGAGGTACCTTAGGCTCGGTCTTGCCAATAGCATAGTGGCGTTGTCGAGTAAGAACGATAAGTGTTCAAACATGGCCTTCTGATTTTGTCGAGATGTACGACAGAAATAGCAGAGGAATCTCGAACATGCCACCACCATCTCAGATGAATCCTAAAGAGATAGTTCATAGAGAGACGGCATCTTTATAAGCAGTAGGCTAAAGGACGTGGAAATTTGCTGTAGATGCCTTTGGGGACCAAATTCGAGTGACGTCTTATGAAGAGATCAGTTTTGCAAGAAAGACGTAAGGCCTTGTTCAGCAATGAGTAAGTTGGGTCTTAAGCATGGGATACATTACGAAAACGCGTCTCCAGAATGGTGACTCCTAAGCCTGTAAGGCAGTGAAATGTAAAATAACTTCGGAACCGTACGAGCAGTTCTACGTCTTATGACCAATACCATAATTCTGAAGTAGACTTGAGCCAACCTTTATAGGAGTTTTCTCCTTGACTTCTTCACCCTCATGCTCTACAGCACCTTGTTGAGCAGTCAGAATGTTCATCATAATCGACATCACATTCTCATGTACTGACAATAGCCTCATTAAATCCGGATGTTGGAAGAAAATCCGGTTATTCATCAGCTTCCTGCAACCAACATATCAAATTGTTTTTTCCTTTGTTACTCAATATTTAAAGATGTTAATGAATAAAGTTTGGAGGAAGTTTGGATCCATTTCAATTAAGACTCCAATCTCAGTAGCGATGCTTACAAGTAATACGATTCACTGAATTGACTATCTATTTAGAGATACCAGTAGAGTACTTCATTGCGCTATCATCACCTTGGAGGCATCACCGGGTCAGGCTTTTTCCCACATAAAACGGGTTTGAAGGTCCCGTCAACGCGTGATAGTAACCCCCGCAACGCCCCACCACCCACCCCATGGTCCTCGCCCAAGGACTTCCTTGTTGCGTCGTATATGTGACGAGTGCTTGGAGACGCTTAAGGGTGTTTTTGGGTTACGGTATAATACAGTCACGAACTTTAAGATCCGGCCTGTTTTTGCCTCTATTTAATCAAGGAGCATCACGGAAATTTCCCCTTAGTTGTGAAGAAAGTTCTTCTCAGATTATCAGATATATTCTAAATAAGTCGAGTTCAGAAACACTCAAAAAACTAACCAAAGGCCACGTTTCAGAATAGCCTCCTCGGTATGTTCAAACTGCACGGTGAGCAGTTCCCTAATCTGTATCAGATAGATGATGAAGTCTTGTACATCATCGTTGTTTCTCTCGTGCAATACGTATGTCTGTGCCATAGCGTCTTGCAACTGAATTGTATGTTTGATCAATCAATATATCGAGTGGCCACTAAAATTCCCATCACCTCTCTTATGCCGGAGTATTGTCTGAGCAATAAGTTGAACATCTTTCGAATGAGTTCATTACTTTCGATAAAGGTTCCCAATGCCCATTCACGAAGCATGTTGATGATCATTTCACTGGAATTAAAAAGTAAATTATATAGAAAATAATTGAAATGTGTGTGGGTATTTTAGAATTGTCAATGCCATATGCAACTTTTTTCAGATACAAGAAATTCAATACCGGAAATTGCGAGTTCCTTTCTTTGTAGCCAGTTCCTTCTCATTAATAGGTGGAGGTGGAGGAACGGCGACCACCAGACGGGCCAATGAGTCTACCTGCAAAAGTTCACAATTTAATTTTCAAAAACTCAATGGTTACCTTCTCGACCTGTTCTTGCACCACAAAGGAGGCTCAGAATGGGTGGTTGTCCAATAATATTTTTGAGACGCGCCTCCTCAATCGACTTCCATTCAAATCGTAGTGGCGTAATGAAAGTGTATATGCCTCACACAATGATCGGGGACTAGTAGTCGACATAAATTTCACTGTTTTTACCCTCCCGGACCAGTCTGGTCCAATCGACCGACCACGAAATGATGGAAGCTTGAAAACGGATCAGAGATTCGATATTCCGACCGTGCACGGGGATAGTGTGCCCCTTGCCACTACGACACCGCCTTTGAGATATAGGAAAGTGGCCCATGCGACTTATTGGAAAAAACGTCCCTACAAGAGAGCCAGACAGAGCTTATACCTAGAGCACCATCACTAAGAGCGCTTGCGACTAAGCGACTGCAGAAGCAAAAACTTGAGAACAACATATGAAGAAGACAAGGATGTAGTATTAAGCGAATCGTCGCGAAGCTTGGACCTTAGAAGCCAGATCTTCCTCGAGTGCTGTAGACTACTATCTGAATTTCCCTTGTGTAAGGATTATACTTCAGATCAGAAGACCGTTATTCCGAACAGCAATTCTTTTGGGTAGAACACATTTTATGCAGCCAAAAGACCGGCTAGCCGGCCATAAGGTCGGTTAACCTTAAAATGACCTTAAAATGATTATTTCCGGCCCCCCTCCCAACAGCTTAACGGATGAACAGCCCTAAATGCAGGGATTAGTGAGAGTTCCTTGCCTTCATTTCGTTTGAAGTTTTCTCTTCGTTGTAGAAAGATTGCTCTCTTTTGACGGGCTTCTTTCTACATATAGGTGCGCTAAAAGCAATGGACCAGGATTCTCAGCGTGTCATTGGAACAACAACCTCGTAGGGCTTCCCAGGCAGTGTGTGTCGTATAGAGACACCTTAGACGTAGACCTATATATACGCCTTCACTCGACGGTTCTGCCTCCCAGGCCTACTTTTACCAACAATTGAAAACTATTTAAAATTCCGAAATGGTCGCTGCGGTAGAATACTGAACAAAATCCCAAAGCTCAGTTGAAAGCCCTTTTGAAATTCAAGGCGCCAATCAGCGTAAAGGTTCAAGAAAGAAGAACTTCCACTCACCCACGAACCGTCCTCAGTCTCAATGAGGCTCTGTCGTTCCTCCTCGTCTGGCTCGTCCGTGTTTCCGATTTTTTCGACAAGCATTGCACAATAATCTCTGAGAACAAACTTATCTCGCCAAAACATAAAAGAATCAGGTAATTTCAAATGAATCACCTCAGCTGTTCCTGTAGGTTCTCAGCCATAGGACATTGATCATACTCAACCTCATCCTCGAACAATACCTCCTTCTCCTCTTTTTCCTTAAACGATACAAATGAATCTCTATATAGAGAAATGTTCTCAAATTGGATATCTAATGAATGACCACTTTGCACTTGAGTAGTCTGAACATCTGCTCTTTTGGTGGGCACCGGAATTCTTTTGTCTTCTTCGCAGCTTCAGCAGGTGGCATATCCGTCTGTTTGATATCCATGTACCTGAATTGATCTCAAAAATTTGTAATTCTGTTGGCCTTTCGTAAAAGAAAGCGAGGTTCCGTCTGGTTCCACCACCAGATGTTCGATGAAAGTAATTTTAAAGCGATACCGTTTACACTGGTCTTGTTGTAGATCGCCGACAAAACCATCTGTGAACCCAACCAGCGACTCAATACGATGACGCAGCTGAAATTATTGATTCACTATAACAATCAATTATCGATCACCAACAAACCTGTGTATCACATAAGTGATCGAGGATGTTAACGAGTTGGATTTTCACATGCTCTTCGAGTTCGATTTCAGTGAGACCCTTCTTGGTAGTGCCTGAAGACTTTCCCTTTACATGTGTCTCAAAGGGTAATCATGGGCATTGGAATAAGGCAACTCACCAGGCTCATAAGTGGGATCAAACGCTGCCGGATGGATCATCTGCAGTAGGGCTTCAAGTTCTGTATCATCAAACACACCAATGACTAGCAATGAATCGAACAGTTTCATGAGAGGCCTAAAAACCAAATTATTCCTGTCTACCAGAGGAAAGGAAACCAGGGAGAGGGAGACGTACTCGAAATGATTTCTATTATCACCGCCGATCAAATCCCGACAATTCATCACAGCGTGTCGTGTAGCACTTTCCATAGCGCTCATTACATAAGCTTTAAGAGCATCAAAGTTGATAGCTGGTGGTAGCAATTTCATTTCTTCATCCCTGCTGAATCTGAAACCCATTTCTTTTACAAGACATCAGGGGAGAAAGATAGAAATGATGATCGTCGTGAGCATTTCATCCTGTCGCCGTTACACCTTATTCAGTTAGTAGTTACCTGGAAGTCTTCCCAAACGAGGGTCGGACAAGAAGGGGGATGTCGTGGATGATAAGTTTATTTAGATTATTTCGGATGATAAATTGGAAATTTTAAATTACAATTTAGAGATAGAAGGTTTAGAAAATTTGCGAGGAGTGATAACAAGACGACTTACTGTGTTTTCACTGGCTCGGCAACCATAACAGGCAGCATGGAATAAACATCGCCCATAATTTGAGGATATCTGTAAATAAGCTGCTCATCTTATGAAACCATTGATAGAATTTCATCCAAACACATTATCAGCCGACGTCTTTCAAATCTCAGCATTTTGAGAAAACCTGAGACTATAATTTTTGTTATGAGAGATGTATGAGAATCAGGAAGAGCTAAGGGGTGAGAATAAAGAAAAAACTTTAGAGTTCAGACAGAGCTGATTCAATGCTTCCTGGTTCATTCTGAATGACGCCTGCTCTTTCTAGTACTTAGAATCTTTCCATTGCAGGGTGCCTTCAGCATTATTTTCAGCCCTCCCTTCCAACCCATGTCAAACTGCCTGCCCGCCCACTGATGGTGAGATCCGTAGAGGCGTTGTGAAAAGTTGCGTGTAATAAAGTCTCTTTCGAAACTTTGCTGTCAACTCCCCATGGCCTAATTATCAGGAGAAGAGACAAGCGCTCACCGAGTTTCCGTGTCTGGATCGAACACATTCTGATTTTGTAGTTGTTCACACAATGGAATGACATATTCCTTGCTCATTGACTGGCGAGCACTGGCATGAGTTTGCAGATGAATGGCAATGAGCAGGTCGTGGTATCCTTGACGCATAGGACCGGACAGATCTGAGCGAGTTAGTAATACAAACAACAAATTGCACCTGACCAAGATAAAGATTTATTAGGTTGGCAAATAAGTCCTGCGACAAAATGGAGACCTTTTTTCAATCATTTCTAAATTTTTTCATATCAATCAATTTTCGGAAAAATATTTACCGAAGAAGTCAACAGCCTTCTTTTATCCTTTGAGCCAATCACTGATGCCATCTCTTCAGGAGTGAGGGAGCTGTGACTCAAGGAAGTAATTGACTGCCGTTTTTGGATCACATTAAGTTACGAATTTCTTTTCCACAGCGGTATGCTCAAAAAGGCGGACTACATGGTAGTTAGAAGGGGGAACACTCCGGGAGTACTATTGTTGAGTAACCTGGAACNGGGAAAAAAAATGAAATGTGGATAAGCATTTTAAAAAATGTCAACCGCCATATGCAACATTTTTCAGTTACAAGTAATTCAATACCGGAAATTGCGAGTTCCTTTCTTTGTAG